CCGCCCCCACAAAAAAGAAAAAACGGGGACCCCTGCCACAAACCTCCTAAACCACGAGTAAAACACACACACACACACACACACACCCTATTCAGCCTGCAGACATAGAACATACAGAGGAGCCTGCCACAAACCTCCTAAACCACGAGTAAAACACACACACACACACACACACACCCTATTCAGCCTGCAGACATAGAACATACAGAGGAGCCTGCCACAAACCTCCTAAACCACGAGTAAAACACACACACACACACACACACACCCTATTCAGCCTGCAGACATAGAACATACAGAGGAGCCTGCCACAAACCTCCTAAACCACGAGTAAAACACACACACACACACACACACACCCTATTCAGCCTGCAGACATAGAACATACAGAGGAGCCTGCCACAAACCTCCTAAACCACGAGTAAAACACACACACACACACACACACACCCTATTCAGCCTGCAGACATAGAACATACAGAGGAGCCTGCCACAAACCTCCTAAACCACGAGTAAAACACACACACACACACACACACACCCTATTCAGCCTGCAGACATAGAACATACAGAGGAGCCTGCCACAAACCTCCTAAACCACGAGTAAAACACACACACACACACACACACACCCTATTCAGCCTGCAGACATAGAACATACAGAGGAGCCTGCCACAAACCTCCTAAACCACGAGTAAAACACACACACACACACACACACACCCTATTCAGCCTGCAGACACATCTGGCCCCTTCCCAAACACCTACACACTTCTTGAGATCAGGGGTTTTCAGGCTTGTTTTTAGCTATAAAGCCCTCTTTTCAAAAAATCTCACATGGAAGCTCAATATAGAAAACTTGGTGTGTAAAAGCCACTGTGGCCCCGCCCCCACCCTGGGTGGCCCCGCTGGCCTTCCCCATCTGTCCTCTGTTGCTCCCCCATGGGCAGCACTCACAGGGCTCAAACCTTCCATTTTTGGTGCTTAATTTTGGTGTCTGGCGGCCTGTTGTCTCGCCTTCCTGCCCTCCTCCTCGTGGGCCCTGTTCCATCATGAGCTGCTCAGGGTCCAGCTCCCAGGCCATGTGGACAGTGCAGCTTGGCCTGGAGCCCTGCTGGCCAGACTGGACACTGCCCACTGGTCCTGGACAGCCCTGAGTCAGCACTGCACCCATCTGGCCAGATCCAGGAGCCCTGCCTGAGGCTCTACCCTGCTCCTGGTTCCCCTGTCCTCCCCCCATCCCTGTGGTCCCCTGGGGACAGCTCCATCCTCGGTTGAAGAGCTCCCCTCCCTTTCCCTCCCCCTGGCCACCAGACCGCCAGCCAGTGCCTTCAGAGAAGGAGGCTTTTCCTAGGGCTTCCTGAGCACCATCTTTCACTCTTGCCTAATTGGTCGTATTCCAAGCCCTCGGAAGACTTTATGAAATCAGCCATGTGCATCTTCCCCAGTGGGTCTCCATAGCAACAGAGGGCCTAACTCTGGGGAGTGCGGCGAGGAGGAAAATGTTCCAGCTAAAAATGTACATGGCCGTCGGTGGGCGGGCGCCCGAGAGGGGGCTCCAGGCACACAGAAGGCAGCTCCCCACCCCCATTCCCTGTCCAGGAAGTCGCTGTTGTTTGGGCTTTACCTCATGTCTGAATGAGAGGATGGCCCCCCGTACTGCTATCCTATGGCACCTTTGAGGGCTGGGACACAGATTAGTGGGATAGTGCAAAGCAGTCTTTCTGGGACTGGAGGTCGAAAGAGGACCCTGGCCCTTCCCCCTGCTCAGCACCCTGTCCACCCCACCTCCCCACACCCCTCCTAGTGTGGGTGGACGTAGAGGGGGACAGGGTGCCAGTTTCACTTCCCAACTCGGTGACAGTTCCTGTCACTTCCTCTATCTCTCCAAACAACAGGGCCAGGCTTCCCGGGCAGCCCCGATCCCCCTCCCAGAGGCCCTCCTTTCACCCAGCATCTGTCCCTGGTTCCCCGGCCATCTGACTGTCCTCCTGCGACCCTCACCTGCCTGGCCAGGCTGGGGTGGGCTTTAGGTCCCAGGAAGACAGGCTACCGATGCGGGCACAGGAGCTGTCCGTTGGCCCACAGGCTTGAGGTCCTCCCCAGGCCTGGAGCGCACACTCCTTGGTCTCACAGGTCCCTGGGGAGAAGGGCAGCGCGGGGCCTTGGGGTAACAGATCCGTTGACTGAGAGCTCACACACCTCAGGCACGGTTCAAGTGCTTTACCTCTACTGTCGTGTAAAGTTCACAACAACCCTAGAGGTCTCTCCCATTTACAGATGAGAAAACTGAGGGCCAGAGAGGGGCGACTCGCCCGGGATCCCTCAGCTGTAATGGGGAGACCCGAAGCCAGGTCTGCTGACCTTAAAGCCCAACCCCTGGGGCAAGGAGGATCAGAGCTGCCACAGTGGGTCACCCGGGAGGCCGGGCTGGAAGCAAGGCTGGGACGGACACAGGGAGGGTTTGCGTGGGTCAAGGGCACGGTCCCTTGACCGTACCCGAGCCTGAGACGCAGGGCCCTCTCTGGCTCGTGCCCATGCTGCTTCCACTCCGTACCCCGATGGCCAGGATGCCCCTGCCCCGGGACAGCCTCGCTCACCCCACCCTGTGCTTGCTCCCCAGGGTGTGATGCTGAGTCAGCTGGGCCATAAGAGCCTGGCCCAGAAGGTGCTACGGGACGCCGTGGAGAGGCAGAGCACCTGCCACGAGGCATGGCAGGGCCTGGGCGAGGTGCTGCAGGCCCAGGGCCAGAGCGAGGCCGCCGTCGACTGCTTTCTCACCGCCCTCGAACTGGAGGCCAGCAGCCCAGTGCTGCCCTTCTCCATCATCCCCAGAGAGCTCTGATTCGGCCTCGCAGCTTCTGGGAGGGAGGGAGCTGCCCAGCGGGCAGGCGGGCAGCAGGGAGCGTGGGTCAGGGGAGGTACGGGGCCTCAGGGCGATACATGTCTAGGGACCGTCTGCAGGCTGCAGCCCTAGTTCTCCTCGCCTCCCCCACCCCCACCCCCGCTTTCCCTCCAGGGCCCACTGGGACTGGGAGCTGCTCATCTGGAGCAGGGTGGACCAGGTCTGCATCAAAAACAAATCCCTTGTTCCTTGGGACTCAGACTTCCTGGAGTTTATGAGCAAGGAATTAGCTGGGAGGCCACGTCAACGTGGGGGACGCTCCCCAGTGTACCTGTGCATCGTCTAAATGCGCAGTAAGGGTCTGTGTGGCTTGGGTACCTCCCCACCCCGTCTAAAAGCCCCTGCACTGTACCTGCCACCCTCCTTCAATATCTCTGACCCTGGATTTCCCGGCTTTGCACAAGCTTTCTGCTCCCTACGCCAAAGATGAGCTGCCCTCTGGCTGGGCCAAGAGGGTTCTCCTGGGCTCCTTCCTCGGCCCCTCGGGAGGCAGCCTGCTTGAACCTAAGTGACTTAGAGTCATGGTGACGGGACTTGTTCCCCAAGAGCGCTAGTGGGGGAGCCCCATGGCCCTGGCCTCACACCCCACTCTCAGGTCGTGCCCAGGGCAGTCATGGCAAGCGGGAAGAGGATGGACCTCTGGGTCCTCTCCCAGGTTTAAGTTAGTGGACAGTGCCTGGCCGTGCCCCTCTTTGCTTGGGCCCGCCTATAATCTTCCCCTCTGTCGCCAAGTGCCTTTGGGGCCTCTGGTGTCTGGCCAGGGGCACTGAGTTCTGGCCCTAACTAAACTTCCATTTCTGCCCACCTCCACCTCTCTAGAAACAGGCCTCAGCCACCTCCTCAGGCCCTGGGCTGTAGCCCCTAGGATACAAACACGGCCGCTGGACCCAGCCCTTCCTTGCATCAACACCTCATTCCTTCAAGCCTTACCTTTCTGGGCAATGGGTACAGTGTAGATCCCTCTAGGGGTTATAATGTGGAGATTGGCAATCTCTAGGACTGCCCTTATCACCGCCCACAGCCCATTTTCACCTCAGGCTCTCTTGGGTGACCCAAGCCCCGCCCTAGCCCTTTGGTTCCCCCTGCCTGGGGCCAAACAGGGACTGTAAGCAGAGACCCAAGGAAGGGCGTGGGGGGGGGGGCTAGCCCCTCCCTGGTTGTGCAGGCCTCTGTGTATGTGACACCCGTCTCTACCGGGGTCCTGGGGGTGCTGGTGGGTGGTGTCTTCCCTGCTGGCTCCCCTAGCCCTGCTGCATGATGCTCTTGGAACTCTCCCCAGGAAGGCAGCCCCCACAGGCCTATCAGGGAACTCCTTTCTTATCTGCACTTTGGGTTTCAGTTTTAAAGCCCCGTGTGGCACATCTCTCACTTGAAGGTGTGTGGAAAGGTCAGGTGAGGGCTGCCCTGGCTCGTCAGAGCCTGGTCTGTTCCTCGGAGGCGAGGCGAGAGGCTGTTGGAGACCCACGCTCCTCCCAGCCCTGGCTCAGCACTCCACAGCCCCAGGTGCCACCAGGGAGAGCCTGTGCCTCTAGCCTTCCCATGCCAGGCCAAGGGACACTGTAAGGACACCAGATCCTTCATCCCGCCTGGTTGAAGGATCTCTATATGTGTATGTATGTGTATAAATATATATATATATGATAGAGATCTATTTTTATTCTGGAATTCTGTTAGAAAAATAAATAAATAAAAGCAAATGCTGTTGGTTTACATTGGGATGCCCAAAGATGTTGGTAGTGAGTCCTTGGTAACAGGAAAGGCAAAGGCAACAAATGCATTTTGACTTGAAGCATTCCTTTTGGGAAGCCTCAGCGGGGCTGGGCAAGTTGCTTGACATTTCAAAATAAAGGTCTTGAGTAAAGAGGCCCATGAAGGGAAAGCAGGTTTGTGTGAAGCAGTGTGTTCCTTTATCCACCAGGTACCCATGGGACAGGCCTTGAGGGAGCCCTGGAGAAGAGGCAGAGGCCTGAGAGGTCATGAAGGCCGGGGCGGGGATGCACAGGTGGGGAGGGCAGTGGGAGGGAGGGGCCCACTGAGGAGATGGTGATGAGGGCTTGGGGAGGGGACTAAAGACCTAAATGTAAGGCCAGAAACTATCAAACTCTTACAGGAAAACCTAGGCAGAACACTCTATGACATAAATCACAGCAAGATCCTTTTTGACCCACCTCCTAGAGAAATGGAAATAAAACCAAAAATAAACAAATGGGACCTAATGAAACTTCAAAGCCTCTGCACAGCAAAGGAAACCATAAACAAGACCAAAAGACAACCCTCAGAATGGGAGAAAATGTTTGCAAATGAAGCAACTGACAAAGGATTAATCTCCAAAATTTACAAGCAGCTCATGCAGCTCAATATCAAAAAAACAAACAACCCAATCCAAAAATGGGCAGAAGACCTAAACAGACATTTCTCCAAAGAAGATATGCAGACTGCCAACAAACACATGAAAGGATGCTCAACATCATTAATCATTAGAGAAATGCAAATCAAAACTACAATGAGATATCACCTCACACCAGTCAGAATGGCCATCATCAAAAAATCTAGAAACAATAAATGCTGGAGAGGGTGTGGAGAAAAGGGAACCCTCTTGCACTGTTGGTGGGAATGTAAATTGATACAGCCACTATGGAGAACAGTATGGAGGTTCCTTAAAAAACTAAAAATAGAACTACCATACGACCCAGCAATCCTACTACTGGGCATATACCCTGAGAAAACCATAATTCAAAAAGAGTCATGTACCAAAATGTTCATTGCAGCTCTATTTACAATAGCCCAGAGATGGAAACAACCTAAGTGTCCATCATCGGATGAATGGATAAAGAAGATGTGGCACATATATACAATGGAATATTACTCAGCCATAAAAAGAAACAAAATTGAGTTATTTGTAGGATGAGGAAATAGAGACTATTTAAAATAATGTCATGAAGAACCTAGGGGTAAGACAGGAATAAAGACACAGACCTACTAGAGAATGGACTTGAGGATATGGGGAGGGGGAAGGGTAAGCTGTGACAAAGCGAGAGAGAGGCATGGACATATATACACTACCAAACGTAAGGTAGATAGCTAGTGGGAAGCAGCCGCATAGCACAGGGAGATCAGCTCGGTGCTCGCCTGGAAGCGGGGGATAGGGAGGGAGGGTGGGAGGGAGGGAGAGGCAAGAGGGAAGAGATATGGGAACATATGTATAACTGATTCACTTTGTTATAAAGCAGAAACTAACACACCATTGTAAAGTAATTATACTCCAATAAAGATGTAAAAAAAAAAAACAAAAAAAAGCCTTGCGGAGGCGTGGCCAAAGCCTGGAAGTGGGTGGGAGGCAGCAGAGGGGTCCAGACAGGGCCAGAGACCCCTGCTGCCTCCAGAACCTGGCTGGGAGAAGCCAGGGCCAGACGTGCCACCTGAACAGGAGAGACTGCCCCAAAGGCACTGCCAATGGAGCATCTTCAGCACCTGGGGGAAAGCACCAGGGGAGGGGTGTGTGGTGAGAATCCAGGCCACATCCAGATCAGCCACCTGCTCTGAGAAGTCCATACCAATATTCTCCTAATAGAAGTTATGCCACGTACAAATACACTATATATGTTATAAAATGTGTATCAAATGATGACATCAGTTTACACAGAAGCCCTGTTTTCTTCGTGCACCCCAAGGGATTATCTGATGGACCCCCCAAGGCTGCACCCACACGGTCTGAAGACAGCTGCCCTTAAGGCTTCCCCTCGAACTCAGGGCCTGGCTTAGACAGAGCTGCCTGCTCAGCACCCTGGTCACCTCCACCCTGATCCTCAGCCCTATTACTGGGGTTACGGTTTTGATGTTAGTGAGGAAGGGCCCTTCTTGGAGCTCCTGGGTGCCCAGCTTTGATTTCCCTGTGATACTTTTTTAGAAAACACTTTCAGTCTTTAGTGGTTTAACAATTAGTATCAGATTACTTGTCACACACCCTCATCTGCCAGCTCACGGCCCCCTGGGGTGAGAATTAAAGGCTGCTTTAGGCTATAGATGGTGTCACTTGTCTGCCAGCCTGGGAGAAAGGCCTAGAAAAGCTCATCCTACAAGGACAGGACGAGGGAATCTGGACGGAGGAAGGGGCGGCCTTCCTGTCCCTGAGGAGGGCTTTGCTGAGCTGACCTCAGGGTGGTCAGATGTTGGAAAGTCAGGCAGTGGTGGAGACCCAGGCGCTTCCTGACCTCCAGCTCCCCATCTGCAGACCCCTCATTCACACTCGAGCCCTCCCTGGAGAGGGAGGGGGCCAGCCCCGAGTCCAACCGATTGTACCAAAACAAGGGCTGGAGTTTGGGGCTGAGACTCGGTTACACTGTCACCCCCAGGGACCTCCAGCCCACAGCCCTGCAGTATTAATAGTGTTTATCTGCAGGCACAGGTATGAATGGAATTTCAGCCACCACCCCCAGACTCCTACCAAAGTACTCACTGTTGCATTCACACCCCTGACCCAAGCGCTCAGATGTCACTGTGCAAATATTTCTTGGCCTGGTTTTCGGGAAGCATCCAGCTAAACAAATATCCCCCAGCCCGTGCTGCCAGCTCTTGATGACAACCCACAGTCAGCGAGCCTCACACATAAGCGACCTGTGGGACCACCCCCACGTGGTACAGACTTGGATTCTGGAAGCTAGGGAGGTCCTACTGGGAAAGTATCCCGTGCCAGAAACTCCGAATTTTCATCAAGCTCTCTCAGTTGCGAAAAGCAGAGACCCACTGAAGGTAGCGCCAGGAAAGAGACAAGGGGGGGGTTCCCTGGAGCCCTAGGGCAGGGACTGCAGTGCACAAATATGGGGCCGAAGCAGCCATGCATCCGTCTTTGGTGATGGAGTCAGCACCCAGACTGAGCTCGAAGGCCACTCTACCACTGGCTGGCCCAGTGCCCTTGAGCAAGTGACCTACCCTCTCTGTGCCTGTCTCCTCATCTGTAAAGTAAGGATAATCCTGGAATAGTGTCTGCTTTGTGGACTGTCATGATGATTAAGTGAGAAAAAACATGGAAAGAGCCTAGAACAGTGCCTGGCCCATAATAACCACTGGATACCTGTGTGATGATTTTCTCTGCCCCTCCTCTTCCCTCCTCCTCTCCCTGCTGGCTGACCTCGCTCACTCAGAGATGCTGCCATGGGACTACGTTCAATCTACATACCCTGGCTGGCCTTCCACCTCCAGCGCTGCAGCGACACCCCTCTGTGCATCTGAGCTTAGATTCTTGGATGAGAGGATCCCACTGGTCCCACTCATTTTTCCATGGGTCCCTAAGAACAACCAGCTGTGACCAGGGGATGGGCCTCAGGACACAAAATCTGGCTGCCTGAGCAGCTGGAGTTCTGGGTGAGCAGTAACGGGCCCCTTCAGCCCGTCATTCCCT